AAAATCACCCGAAAATCGGCCCAAAAATCAATTAAAATCGACCCAAAAATTACCTGAAATCGACCCAAAAATCAGCCGAAAATCAGCCCAAAAATCACCCAAAATTCACTCAAAAATCAGCCCAAAAATCACCTGAAATTCACCCAAAAATAAGCCCAAACTTGGCCAAAAATCGACCCAAAAATCACCCAAAAATCACCCAAAATCCACCCAAAAATCAGCCCAAAATCAGCCCAAAAGTCACCCAAAAATCACCCAAAAATCACCTAAAAATCAGCAAAAAATGAACCCAAAAATCACCCAAAATTCACCCAAAAATCAGCCCAAACTTGGCCAAAAATTGACCCAAAAATTCCCAAAATTCCCCCAAAAATCACCTCCAATCAACTCATTTTCCCCAATTTTCCCCATTTTTCCCTTTTCTCTCCCCATTTTTCCCCATTTCCCCCTCATTTTCCCCCCATTGTTTGCTCATTTATTTATTTGTTCATTTCTTCATTCATTTATTTCTTCATTCATTTATTTATTCATTTATTCATTTGTTTAATTATTTATTCACTTCTTAATTTATAATTTGTTTTTATTCATTTATTTATTCATTCATTTATTCATTTATTCATTCATTTCTTAACTATTTATTCATTATTTATTTCTTCATTCACTCATTTATTAATTTAATCATTTATTTGTTCATTAATTTCTTTATTCATTTATTTATTTATTTCTTCATTCATTTATTCATTAATTTATTCATTTATTAATTTAATCATTTATTCATTTCTTAACTCATTTCTTCATTCATCTATTTTTTCATTCATTTACCTATTCATTTCTTCATTTGTTTAATTAATTACTTATTCACCTTTTAATTTATAATTTGTTTTTTTTATTCATTTATTTATCCTTTCATTCATTCATTCATTCATTGGTTCATTCATTCATTCATTCATTCATTGGTTCATTAATTAATTAATTAATTCATTAATTTATTAACTCATTCATTCATTTATCCTTTCATTCATTCATTAATTCATTTATTCATTCATTCATTGGTTCATTAATTAATTAATTCATTAATTTATTCACTCATTCATTCATTGGTTCATTCATTCATTCATTTATCCTTTCATTCATTCATTCATTCATTCATTCATTGGTTCATTAATTAATTAATTAATTCATTAATTTATTCATTCATTCATTCATTGGTTCATTCATTAATTTATTCATTCATTCATTCATTCATTGGTTCATTCATTCATTCATTTATTTATTCACTCATTCATTCATTCATTGGTTCATTAATTCATTCATTCATTAATTTATTCATTCATTCATTGGTTCATTCATTAATTTATTCATTCATTCATTAATTTATTCATTCATTCATTCATTGGTTCATTCATTCATTCATTCATTGGTTCATTCATTAATTTATTCACTCATTCATTCATTCATTGGTTCATTCATTAATTTATTCACTCATTCATTCATTCATTCATTTATTCACTCATTCATTCATTCATGGGTTCATTCCTTCGTTCATGTATTCATTCATTAATTTGCTCATTAATGAACTCCCTAATTAGCTCATTAATTGCTGTTCCCAGCCCCCCCGGGGTCTGTTTCCCGTGACCGTTCCCGGCTCCGCGCCCTCGGCTCGGCCGCGCTCCGGGACCTGCGCGAGGAGCTGGGGGAGGGGCCCCGCCTGGAGGGGGAGGGGCTGCTCCCCACCCCCCACCACGAGCGACACAGGTCAGGGGNGCTCCGGGACCTGCGCGAGGAGCTGGGGGAGGGGCCCCGCCTGGAGGGGGAGGGGCTGCTCCCCACCCCCCACCACGAGCGACACAGGTCAGGGGCATCATGGGAAATATTGGGAAAAATTTGGGAATTTTTAGGATTTTTTTTCGATTTTTTTCCATTTTTTTCGGATTTTTTTTCGATTTTTTCCGATTTTTTTCGAATTTTTGGGGGGAATTTTTGACACATACTTAAGGTTATAAAGAGAGGGATTTGGGGGGATTTTATGGGGATTTTTTTGGAATTTTTTCTGATTTTTTTCGATTTTTTCCGATTTTTTTTCGATTTTTTTTCGATTTTTTTCGAAATTTTTTCGAATTCTTTCTAATTTTTTTCTGATTTTTTGCGATTTTTTTCAGATTTTTTTAGGATTTTTTTCCGATTTTTTCCGATTTTTTGGGGGAATTTTGGAGGCAGGATTAAGGTTGTTGAGGGAGGAATTTTGGGGGATTTTTTGGGAATTTTTTGGATTTTTTTTCGATTTTTTTTCAAATTTTTTCCAATTTTTTTCTGATTTTTTCCGATTTTTTTTTTCTGATTTTTTGTGATTTTTTTTTCATTTTTTTCTGATTTTTTTTTAAGTTTTTCTGATTTTTTTCTGATTTCTTTTCCATTTTTTTCTAATTTTTTCTAATTTTTTCCGACTTTTTACTGATTTTTTTTCCGCTTTTTTTTCGATTTTTTTTCAAATTTTTTCTGATTTTTTTCAATTTTTTTCGATTTTTTTCCGATTTTTTTTTCAGAAATTTTGGGTGAAATTTGAGCCATTTTGGGTCATTTTTCAGTGAAATTTGGCCGTTTTGGGGTCATTTTTTGCTCATTTTTTTGCCGATTTTTGACCAAATTTTGGACTCTTTTGTATCCCAGGTTCCCTTAGAGATGCCTGGGGTCACTTTTTGGGTGAAATTTGGGTGAAATTCCAGTGATTTTGGGTCATTTTTTGGGTAAAATTCGAGCGAATTTGCGTCATTTTTTGGTGAAATNTTCATTCATGGGTTCATTCCTTCGTTCATGTATTCATTCATTAATTTGCTCATTAATGAACTCCCTAATTAGCTCATTAATTGCTGTTCCCAGCCCCCCCGGGGTCTGTTTCCCGTGACCGTTCCCGGCTCCGCGCCCTCGGCTCGGCCGCGCTCCGGGACCTGCGCGAGGAGCTGGGGGAGGGGCCCCGCCTGGAGGGGGAGGGGCTGCTCCCCACCCCCCACCACGAGCGACACAGGTCAGGGGAATCATGGGAAAAATTGGGGAAAAATTTGGGAATTTGGGGGAAAAATTTGGGATTTTTTTCGAATTTTTTCGGATTTTTTTTCGATTTTTTTTCGATTTTTTTCGGATTTTTTTCGGATTTTTTTCGAATTTTTGGGGGAATATTTTACAGATATTTAAGGTTATAAACAGAGGGATTTTGGGGGATTTTTTGGGAATTTTTTGGATTTTTTTTCGATTTTTTTTCGATTTTTTAAAAATTTTTTTCCAATTTTTTTCTGATTTTTTCTGATTTTTCTTCGACTTTTTTCCGATTTTTTTCCGATGTTTTTTTCCGATTTTTTTTCTGATTTTTTTCCGATTTCTTTCCAATTTTTTCTGATTGTTTTTCGCTTTTTTCCGATTTTTTTCGATTTTTTTTCCGATTTTTTTCCGATTTTTTTCTGATTTCTTTTCCATTTTTTTCTGACTTTTTTTCTGATTTTTTGCGATTTTTTTCAGATTTTTTTAGGATTTTTTTCCGATTTTTTCCGATTTTTTTGGGGGAATTTTGGAGGCAGGATTAAGGTTGTTGAGGGAGGAATTTTGGGGGATTTTTTGGGAATTTTTTGGATTTTTTTCGATTTTTTTTCAAATTTTTTCCAATTTTTTTCTGATTTTTTCCGATTTTTTTTTTCTGATTTTTTGTGACTTTTTTTCTCCTTTTTTCTGATTTTTTTCTGATTTTTTCCGATTTTTTTTGCGATTTTTTGGGGGAATTTTTCAGACAGGTTTAAGGTCGTTAAGGGAGGAATTTTGGGGGGGAATTCTTGGGAATTTTGGGGGAATTTTTCAATTGGGGTGCCCTGGGGTCATTTTTTGGGTGAAATTTGGGTGAAATTCGAGCGATTTTGGGCAAATTTTCGGTGACATTTTGGCCATTCGGGTCATTTTGGGGTCATTTTTTTCTCATTTTTTTGCCGATTTTTTACCAAATTTCGGCCTCTTTTGTATCCCAGAATCCCCCAGGGCTGCTTGGGGTCATTTTTTGGGTGAAATTCGGGCGATTTTGGGTCATTTTGGGGTGAAATTTGAGCCATTTTGGGTCATTTTTGCATGAAATTTTTGCGTTTCGGGGTCATTTTGGGGTCATTTTTTGCTCTTTTTTTTGCCGATTTTTATCCAAATTTCGGCCTCTTTTGTATCCCAGGTTCCCTTAGAGATGCCTGGGGTCACTTTTTGGGTGAAATTTGGGTGAAATTCCAGTGATTTTGGGTCATTTTTGGGGTAAAATTCGAGCGAATTTGCGTCATTTTTTGGTGAAATCCGGGTGTTTTGGGGTCATTTTTTGTCCAATTTTTTGCCGAATTTCGGCCAAATTTCGCCCAATCTCTGTCCGGGGGCTCCTCGTGGGTGTCTGGGGTCACTTTTTGGGTGGATTTTGGGTGAAATTTGGGTGATTTTGGGTCATTTTTTGGCCGCCAGGATCCGCTGGGAGGAGTCGATGCTGCAGCGCCTCAGCGCCCCCTGGCGGCCGCGGCGGCCGCGGGGGGCGGGGCCTGACCTGAATGACGTCACCAACTTCGGGGCTTTCCCCGCCCTCCTGGGGGCGGCGACCAATGAGGTGAGGGGGAGGGGAAGGGGCGGGGCTTGGGGGGGGAAATGGCGGGAAAAAATGGGGAAAAAATGGGAAAAAAATTTGGGAAAAATGGGGGAAAAAATGGAAAAAAAATGGGGAAAAATAAAGAAAAATTTGGGAAAAAATGGGGAAAAAATGGAAAAAAAATTGGGAAAAATTTGGGAAAAAATGGGGAAAAATTGAGGGAAAATGGACAAAAAAATTGGGAAAAAATGGAGAAAAATTGGGGAAAAAAATGGGAAAAAATAAAGAAAAAATGGGGAAAAGTTGGGGGGAAAATTGGGAAAAAACTCAGGGAAAAAATGAGGAAAAATCGGGGAAAAATGAGGAAAAAATTGGGGGGAAATGGAGAAAAAATGGGAAAAAATTGGGAGGAAATTGGGGAAAATTAGGAAAAAATGGGGAAAAATTGGGGGAAATGGAGAAAAAAAATGGGAAAAAAATCAGGAAAAAATGAGGAAGAAATTGGGGAAAAAATGGGAAAAAAATTAAGAAGAAATGGAGGAAAAATGGGAAAAAATCCAGGGAAAAAAATGAGGAAAAATTGGGAAAGAAATGGTGGAAAATTTGGGGAAAAAAATTGGAAAAATGGGGAAAAAAATGAGGGAAAAAATCGGGAATTTCGGGAAAAAAAAATTTTTTGGGGGGAATTTTTTTTGGGGGAACCTTTCAGGAATCGTCGGAGCCGCCCAAGAAAAAACGGAAAAAAACGAAAATGGGGAAGAAAAAAGGGAAGAGAGGTGAGTGCAGGGACCAGTCTGGACCAGTATGGACCAGTATGGACCAGTATGGACCAGTATAGACCAGTATAAAACAGTATGGACCAGTACGGACCAGTATAAACCAGTATGGACCAGTATGGACCAGTATAAACCAGTATGGACCAGTATAGACCAGTATGGACCAGTCTGGACCAGTATAAACCAGTATAGACCAGTCTGGACCAGTATAACCAGTCCAAACCAGTACAAACCAGTTCAAACCAGTCCAAACCAGTATAACCCAGTTTAAACCAGTATAACCAGTCCAAACCAGTTCAAACCAGTCCAAACCAGTATAACCAGTCCAAACCAGTATAAACCAGTCCAAACCAGTAACTCCCAGTTTCTCTCCCCCCCCCAGGTTTCCGACGCCGCCGTTGATTTCTCCAATAAAAAAAAAAAAATTTCGGGATTTATTTTGAAATTATTTTTTTTTGCCTCATTTGCATATTTGGTGACGTCATCGGGATCCGGGTGGGGTGGGCGGGGCTTTCTCCCAAATTCCTTTTTTTTTGTACCCAAAATTTCATTTTTTTAACCCAAAATTTCACTTTTTTTTCACCCCAAAATCCAATTTTTTTCTAACCCAAAATTCCACATTTTTACCCAAAATTCCATTTTTACCCGAAATCCAAATTTTTAACCCAAAATTCCACTTTTTTAAACCAAAATTTCACTTTTTTAACCCAAAATTTCATCTTTTTAACACAAAATCCCACAATTTTTTACCCCAAATTTCACTTTTTTTAACCCCAAATCCCACATTTTTTAACCCCAAAAATTTCCACTTTTTTCAATTTTATTTTTTTGCCCAAAATCCCCGTTTTTTGCCTCATTTTTTTTATGGATTTTTCTGCTCCTCTTTCATTTCTGTGACAGCCCCAAAAATCAGAAAAAAATCCCAAAAAAACCCAAAACCACCCCAAAAAATCCACAAAAATCCGTTT